TTCTCTTGTTTTGTGTTGGTAACCAATTGAGAGGATGCACGTTGGAGGAATGGATAACGGCTCGAATTGAGGAATCGGAGAGCCGAGTTCAAATTCCAATCGAATCAATTACATTCACTTACGCATTAATACCCTTGGGAAAGGTATGGATTGTCTTCTTCTAAGCTATAGGTTAATAGCAGAACAGAACGGGTTCTATAGCTTTGGATAGCAACTGGTCTACCGCAGAAAGAAATGGCAACCTACTGAAAGATACATGATCGCCTAAGCGTGTATCACGCATAGAAGATAACTAACAGATAGATTAAGCATGAAAATATTGTTTGCTTTTATAATTATTTACATTTAGATTAGCCTGGCACATGTTTACAAATAAAGATGATACTCAATAAGGTGGATTAATGGGAGACTCAGTGGAGTAGTGGATAGCGGCTCGGATTAAGGAATCGGACATCCGATTCCATTACATTTACTTACGTACTAATACCCTTGGGAATCGTATGAACCTCTCTCTCAAGCTATGGGTTGATAGTAGGACAAACCGGGTTCTATAGCTTTGGATAGCAACTGGTCTACCGCAGAAAGAAATGGCAACCTACTGTGGGAAAAAATCTGCCTCGTCAGTCATGTATCGAAAGATACATGATCGCCTAAGTGTGTATCACGCATGACACATAACTGACTGGTATTCACTTACGAGCAAATACTCTTGGGAAAGGTATTCATCCTCTTCTTCCCTCCTCCCCTAGTTATGGGTAAATAACAGGACAGACCGGGTTCTATAGCCTTGGATGGCAACTGGTCTACCGCAGAAAGAAATAGCAACCTACTGCGGGAAAAAAAGATCTGCCTCGTCAGTCATGTATCGAAAGATACATGATCGCCTAAGTGTGTATCACGCATGGCACATAACTGACTGAATTAGTTAAGAAGTTTAAAACCGGCCTGTAGTACAATTGGCTCTATCAAATGCGACTGTCTCTGTCTTTTTTTTCTTGTGCAAGATACAATATTGCCGAGTTTTATTTTATAACTAACAGAAGTAAAATTGATGTCTTTACGATGCTGATAGGTCCGGGGACTCAAGACATGACAAGTCTGAGCAGAAGACCGACTTCTGGGGCGAGACATTAACGTATGAACATTTTGTCATCTCTTGCAAGTACGACCCGATAATCGTTACTGTAATTTCAATATTTTGAAAATAACTCACATAGTTCTAATATGTTTGTTGTTTTACGGGTCGTAATTCATACAATACAAAACCAATTTAAATTATATATACGAGAGGTTGGTCCGGAACGTGACCAGACATTTATCTATATATAAAATTCTGTAATTTCTGTTAGTCTGTCCACCCTCATACCCCTTCTAAAATAGCTATACATTGTCCGATAGAAACCAAATTTGGGGGAGAAGTGCAAACAGGTAAGAGGTTATAAAGTGCAGTTGGTTTTACTAGGGTGCGTAGTTTTGTTAAATAATAAAACTTTTAGCCCCCCCCCAAAAAAAAAATTTGATTGTACTGAGCTACACATCCTAATAAAACAAACTGTACTTTTTATCTCGTTACCTATTTGCATATGTCCCCGAAATTTGGTTTTGGTCAGTCAATGTATGACTATTTTAGAGCGTGTGATGGACGGACAGACCAACGGAAGTCACAGAATATTATATATATATAGATTTCTGGACACGTTATGGATCGACCTCTCGTATATGCATATATAATTTAAATTAGTTACGCACAGAATGTCCATTGTGCTGTAATGGATATCGGCTCGAGGCGAGAATTCGGAGGACCCAGTTCGAATTCCAGTCTAGTTCGTTAGATACATTTACGCGCAAATACACTTGAGAAAGGTATGAATCCATCTCTTCTTCCCAGCTATGGGTTAAATAGCGGGACTGACTGAGTTTTTTTTAGCCCTGGTAAAAAGTTTAAATAAACAAATGGCAAAATAATGCGGGAAAAATCTGCCTCGTCAGTCATGTATCGAAAGATACATGATCGCCCAAGCGTGTATCACGCATGGTACTTAAATGACTGGCTGACAATATGAGTTACAACCCATAAGACAACAAAAATATTAAAAGTATGTTAAATAATAAAAGTTTTAGAAAGCTAGAACAAAGGACTATCAAAAGCAAGAAGCCAGAAAGTATGGTCACCAGCAAGACGAAATGACCAATATGCAAATTGGACATGTCAACATCAATCAAGTATAGAAGTTAAAATATCTGAAAAAGTGTTGAAAAGCAGAAAATATTTGATAAAGTGCTGGAAATATCTGATAAAATGCTGAGAAACACAACATATCTGATAAGGCGCCGTAAATATCTGATAGAGTGCAGAAAAAAACAGAAAATAACTGGTAAAGTGCTGGAAATATCTGATAAAGTGCTGAAAAACCGAAAATAACTGATAAAATGCTGAAAAACAGAAAATATCTAATAAAGTGCTGAAAAACCGAAAATAACTGATAAAATGCTGAAAAACAGAAAATATCTAATAAAGTGCTGAAAAACAGAAAATAACTGATAAAATGCTGAAAAACAGAAAATATCTAATAAAGTGCTGAAAAACAGAAAATAACTGATAAAATGCTGAAAAACAGAAAATATCTAATAAAGTGCCGTAAATATCTGATAGAGTGCAGAAAAAAACAGAAAATATCTGATAGTGCTGGAAATATTTGATAGTGATGAAAAACAGAAAAATATCTGGTAAAGCGCTGGAAATATCTGATAAAGTGATGAAAAATAGAAAATATCTGATAAAGTGTTCGACACATAGCCTAGTGGATAAAAGCATTGATTGAATCCAGAGACTTGAGCCAAGGAGTTGTGAGTTCAATACCTGGCTACTGCAGTGGTGAACAAAAACTTGGAGAGTTGAGTTAAAGGGAGATAATTGAGACATCCGGAAGAGGCATGGCACGTGGAACTAGAACAATCTATCCCGGTGGACTTAAGATTCAGTAAAAGATTCAGTTCGAAATTCCAATCACCTGAGGAAGTCAGGAGCGTACAACGACCGAAACATCGTGAATATGAATAATATAACGACGAGGACAACAGGTTGAACAATGTAATTAATGACTATACCTCATCTCAGAAATATAGACAGGAAAAGAGTACTGAATAGCAATGCGATATCTATCCTTGTATATGACAGTACATTCTGGGCAGTCTCTTCATGGGTGTAAAGAAAACTGGAAAATGAAAAAAAAACAAAAAAAAACATAGAAATATGTTTCTACAGAAGGATAGTGAGAATTCGATGGTCGGAGCGAATAAAAAGGTAGGTCGAAAATAGCAACAAAAAGAAGCAGAAAGAGGCAGCTTAAATGCCTTGGACACGCAATGAAGAAGGTGGGGGGCTTGGAAAACTTAACCCTCACGAAGAATACTGCGGGCAAGAGAGATAGGGAAAGACAGCCATTCTCCTAACTGACGTTCTTGAGTGAATGGATGGTGCAACGGTGTGTGTAGGGGAGGGGGCGATACCCTTAGCAAAAAGAGAAAAACTAGAAATAAGGAGTTTAGGAGAGCTATGGTCGACCATATCCTGAAGGTACGTAGCACATAGAAGAAGAAAATACGATGCGGTAAAAAGTCTATAAAAAGATGGGCATCAGCTTTAATGGCATATCTTATCTCTCCTCTCTTTACTTCTACAGTTAATATATGAGTGTTATGGAACTTGGCCAGGTTCAAGTACCAGTAGACGACAGCATCTGGGTAGACATTAGTCTGTCAGACAAAACAATTTCGCAGCTAAGATGCAGGGGAGATTTTGGAACCATTTTATGTGGGTGGTATTGGAAAAGGGCGGTTTATGGTTATACAATAAAGTCAAAAGAATAAATTCTGAGAGAAAGAAAAATATTCATATCTATCTATCTATCTATCTATCTATCTATCTATCTATCTATCTATCCTAGTCTGTTCATATCTCTATCTATGTATCTCACGTTGCTTGTATCTGTCAGTTTATTTGCTCTTATCTATCTATCTATCTATCTATCTATCTATCTATCTATCTATCTCAGTATGTTCATTATCTATCTCATATGTCCATTATCTATCTATCTATCTATCTATCTATCTATCTATCTATCTATCTATCTATCTCAGTATGTTCATTATCTATCTCAATATGTTCATTATCTATCTATCTATCTATCTATCTATCTATCTATCTATCTATCTATCTATCTATCTATGCCCGTCCAGGAGACTCTACCGTAATAGTTAATGTGGCTAATGTGATTGATATTTGATACTAAGAAGCCAGTACAATTTCCAATGCTCTACACACAATATTGAATGACGCAACGGTTGTCATATCGTATGATCAACAAATGTTTGTCGCACTTTTTAATGGAATTAATATCTGTTTTCAAAAATACTAATCTGCTAATCAAATTTTGCACGAACAAAGCTGAACAATTGTAATTTCCAAAAACGTGATAGTGCCACCTTTTACAAACTCCAAATAATTAACAAGTTAGTTCAAAACTAGATTCACAGTTTAGTATTTCTTTAAAATATTTTGTTTATAAAAATAGTTGGAGACTTTTACACACACCTAATATAATAAAATCGATCGATCAATCGATCAAATAGGGCAGATTTAAGTCATAAAACATTATAAGAAATTCACTTCTTTATAATGATTAACTGAAGATCATTGAAGGTACCCAGGCAACAAACATCCCTAAATTTAATCTCCATTGACTCTCTCCCTTTCTCATCTCTTTCGTAACACTGTTGCTTGCCGTTGTTTGTCTTTCTTTTCATTCTTTGTTTTTCTTCTTGAAAACGTCGCATAAGATATTCGATGCAGACAATGTATTGAGATGTTATTTCTCATTTCCCGCCAAAAAACGACAACTAATTCTACGCTATTTTCTTTTTGTCAACTACTGAGAGCACACTGGCAATAAAATTATTCTAGGCATGTATTTTTGCGTTCGAGTTTATCCGTCTGTCATTCAATTGGTTGAGATAATGACGCGTTCAATATTCAAATGACCTAAACCAATGAAATGACTGGTTTTGGTGAAGTTCCTAAAATAAGAAACGAACAACAAGAAAAGAAGCGATAACTTGTCAGAAGAAAAAAGTACATTAATAAAAGTAATAAATATAATGTTTGGACCTGGAGGAAAATAAATATATTTGTATATGAAAAAGAAAGAAAGAAAGAAAGAAAGAAAGAAAGAAGGAATTAAAGAGGCCGACGATAAGCAAAAAAAGGAAGAATGAAAACAGGAAAATAAATACATGTATAAATGCGAAAGAAAGAAAGAAAGAAGTGAAAAGGTTGAGAAAGAGAAAAACGAATAAAAATATGAGGAAAAGTGAAAGAAAGAAAGAAAGAAAGAAAGGAAGAAAGAAAGAAAGAAAGAAAGAAAGAAAGAAAAAGACGACAAAAGGAAAAGCAACATTAAGGAAGGAAGGAAATGAAAAAGGAAAGTAGAAAGAAGTAAAATGAGGAAAAATGAAGGAAGGAAAAAAAAATACACAAACAAAAGAAATTTATATACATATATATGAGAAAGAAAGAAGTAAAAACGGTCGAGAAAACTGAATAAAAATATGAGGAAAAGTAGGATGAAAGAAAGAAAGAAAGAAGGAAGGAAAGAATGAAAGAAGGAAAGAAAGAAAAAATGATAAAAGGGAAAAACAAGATTAAGGAAGAAAGGAAGGAAGGAAGGAAGGAAGGAAGGAAGGGAGGGAGGAAGGAAGGAAGGTAGGAAGGAAGGGAGGGAGGAAGAAAGGAAGGAAGGAGGGAAGGAAGGGAAGGAAGGAAGGAAGGAAGGAAGGAAGGAAGGAAGGAAGGAAGGAAGGAAGGGAGGAGGAAGGAAGGAAGGAAGGAAGGAAGGAAGGAAGGAAGGAAGGGAGGAGGGAAGGAAGGAAGGAAGGAAAGGAAGGAGGGAGGGAGGGAGGAAGAAAGAAAGGAAGGAAGGAAGGGAGGGAAGGGAAGGAAGGAAGGAAGGAAGGAAGGAAGGAAGGGAAGGAAGGAAGGAGGAGGAAGGAAGGAAGGAAGGAAGGAAGGAAGGAAAGGAAGGAAGGAAGGAAGGAAGGTAGGTAGGGAGGAAGGAAGGAAGGTAGGAAGGAAGGAAGGAAGGAAGGAAGGAAGGAAGGTAGGGAGGAAGGAAGGAAGGAAGGGAGGGAGGAAGGAAGAAAGGAAGGAAGAGAGGAAGGCAGGAAGGAAGGAAAATAATAATGCAAGAACAAAAGAATGAAAAGGGAATGTCGAAAAGAAATAAAATTAAAAAGTCAAGCATCAAATCTCGTAAAACTTAAAATTGAATTTAACAAATAAAATGATAAAATGTAAAAAACAAATATTTTGAAAACCCGATGTAAAAAAAAAAAAAAAAAAATAATGTAATCGAACGAAAGATGAAAAAAATGACATCAGAAAAAAAAGAGGAAATATTAGAAAGAAAAAGATAAAGCGGTAAAAGAAGAAGAAGAAGAAGGAGAAGAAGAAGAAAGAAAAATGATGATGATGATGATGATGATGATGATGATGATGAAAAATAAGAAATTACATGAACAAAGGGCGAAGTGAAAAAGAAAGAGAACGAAGGGGAGAAATTTAAAAGTAAAATAATAAAAGAAAATTAAAAGAAAGCGTGAAGAAGAAAAAGGAAAAAAAACAAGAAGAAGAAGAAGAAGAAGAAATGTTATCGCAAAATTTAAATCACGACTAAAATATTAAGCAAACGCTGTGGAACGAGGAATAAAAGCAATTCAATAAACATTCGACCTTTTTATCTATTACCGCTTTAAAATGTTTTTTTTTCTCTTTTTTTTCTCTCTCTCTCTCTCTTAAGTTTTATTCGTTTAGAAACAAGATAAAACCTTTAAAATTGTATTTTCAAATAAAGGAACCTGTGGAAGAACATTGGCGAATTACCTTTCCTTATTGCTTTTCCCGCCTTTTTTCCCGCCTTCTCTGTATTTTTCCATGCCAACCATCTCTCTTTTTTTTTTCAAAGATAACTCTTTTCACCGTATTCTTTTCGTAGTAAATACATCAGAAGAAAATGAACACAAAAATATTTTCCCAACCGTTATTTATTTTTTTTATTACTACATTTGCAATCGAATCAGATTGATGTTGTATGAAAATAGAGAAAAGAAGATATCAAACTTTATTATTTTTATTATTATTGGCTCAGGAAAAGAAACATTCCTGCACAGAAAATTAATGTACAGGGAATTCTTGATCGGTATTTTAATGGTTGCAGAAAATTCAACTTTCCTGACGGAACAATAGTTGCGTTGGACATAATACAAATCTTAGAATTGTTTAAAAGAAGAAAAAAAAATAGTTTACTCTTTTTGCTTTGTTTTTGTTTTTGCTTTTTTCAAGTTGTTTTTTTTTTTTTTTTTTTCTAAGAAAGAAGACAGAAGACAAACCACTAAAGGGAATAATTCAGCAAATTCAAGTTTGCTTTAATTTAAAAGTATTTGTTACTCCTATCCCTTTTTGCTATAGAAAATAAATTTCAAAGAAATATTTTTACAGGTTTTAATAAAGAAAAAAAGAAAAGAAAACACTTGTAACTTGGGTTCTACGATAGGCAATGTTATCTTGAAATTTTAAAGTTCTTAGAATGTTTGAATTTCTGAGGATTTTTTTTTTAAACATTTTTCCTCAAACAAGGCGATATTGCCACTAAGACGCAAGGGATTACTGGGAGTGAAAAAGAATGGCAAGACTTTAGAAGGAATCATAAACCCAATCCTAAACAGGGAACAAGGGATACACCTCTGCTTCTCTTCGAACGACCGACCAGGGAGAATTGTGAACAGGACGATAAGCGAACTTTCTACTCCTGTTTAGGCGGAGTATAGAGTTTAAGTAAACTTTAGAAGAAACCGGAAACCCAATCCTAAACAGGAAACAAGAGATAAACCTCTACTCCGGTTCAAAAAACCGGGGCGGAGTGTGAACTGGATTATAGACGAACCTAATTACTCAAATTTTATGGCATATCAAGTTTTCTTGGGTTATTTAATACTAGAATCATTTTTATTATATTATAGAGACTGTAGAACTCAAATTCTGCATCATGTAAAACACCAGAATATCTTGTCCAATTCTGAAAAAAAACGGATCACAGAACAAATCCAGCTTCACACACATTTTCAAAAAACTCGAGTTCTGAATGGTCAATAAACATGCAAATGGGCGTTACTATCCACCCACGCACAAGTATTTTTTTTTTTTTCAGCTGGGGACTAAGTTTAAAGTTGGCGCCTATTTTCTGTGAGCCACCCAAAGTAAATAAATAAAGAAAAATTCATTCCCATTCACCAGTGAGCATCGTAACTCCGAACGACTTGTGACAAGAATCCATGTCACATCATCTTAAGTTTTAACGTTTCTATAAAACATTCAACAAACATTAAGAAATCTTCACTCACTCACCAATTCATTTTATGTAGAAGCCTGAACTTATATCCTGCAAATGAATTAACTTTACATTTTCCAATCTTTCGAGAACATTGTCTTACAATATTAATCAAAGGAAGACAACTTCATTGAACAAAATTTGCACAAGTTATTCTAGTCATTTAACTGATGTAGAATTTGAGTATCTGTCTATATTTCTATACCTTTGTCTTCAACGACGCATGGCACAGTGGATAAAGGCGTTGGTTAAATCCAGTGACAGGACCCAAAGAGTGAGTTCAATACCCGGTTAAGGCAATTGAGAACTTTCAGATGGCCCGGCGTTGCCGTGCTTGATTCAAAAATCGTACGACTCATACAGCAATCGCTATCACTTGACTTAAAATATTTTTGCCCTTCCTTGCCTTTAAAGGAGGGCCCTTTGCCGTGCTGATGTTGCTACATGCCTTACTTCTTGCCTATCTCACACTGCGAATTTTTTCTAAGTTCTATACTAAACATTAAATCTGTTACGAAAAAAGAACTAAACAAAATGAACACAAAACGATCAGCTTTAAAAAGGACTCGTAACTGGAAAAACCGAATGAAAAAGAATGTTAACAACAAATACTTTTTCACACCAACCCAGTTCTGCGGAATCAGAATCAACGTTGAGTTTAAGCAAGCGAATGAGCCAATTGGAGTAAAGTGCCATGCAGATTTAAATTTTTCCCACTTGTGACGAATGCAGCTATCGATTTTTTTGCATGCTAGCATGCTAGTTAACATTCGTGTCAGTCAGCTGTTGGCTCTCACGCTGGCCAATAGAATCTTCCTGCCTATTCGTGGCAGCCAGCTATTGGCTCTCAGTCTGGCCAGTAGAAAATGGCCGCAAACTACATGAAAATTGCCGTAGAAGCATGAAAAAATCGATTATTTCCACTATCGATGGGAGTTGGGAAATGCAAAGTCGGTCTTGGCCTTCTCACTAACTTGGAGAATGTGCATGTAAATTTTGGTGCAAATCCGTCGAAAATTGCCGCCGTGCATTCGTTACACACACACACACACACACACACACACACACACACACACATCCTGCCTTTTATAGATAGAGATAAGCAGTCTTCTTGTACTACAGTTATTGATAAATTCATGAAAATTTTTTACGTTTTTGGGATTTTTCATCTAAATCAGACAGCTTAATACACAAAAATATACGCTAGTTAATTTCCTGTGATAGCTTATCTCAACCTATTTTTGCCTGGGAGAAAAATGTCTGATACAACTGAGAACGAAAAAAAACACAATGTTCTTTTTAATGAACGTTATCATTTTCCTCATGAAATAGTTTATAATGTTTTTTAAAGAAAATGAAACTGTTTTGAAGTTTGTAGATTGACTGATATAGGTATTAACGTTTTCCCTGGAAATATTTTGAAACCGAAATTATAATGAACATTGGTAGAAATATTAAGGAATCCTAAGAAGGTTGATATTTAATTTTGAAACATTTATCTTATATTTCCTTGCGATGAATTGGCTGGAAACTTACTATAAAAATAGTTTACTAAACTAATATAAGTCTAGAAAATATCTACAGAACCCAAGTTAGTCTGGATGATTATCAATTTGTACTATATGGTCAATTCTTATTGATTGCTTTTATACAAAGACGAAATTTTTTTGGACCAACCTACAAAAAATAATGGTCAGGTTTATATATTGAAACAAACAGTTGGAATGGAAACATACGAATTGGGAGATCGATTTGAGTAAAGATGGATCTTTTGTGTAGTGGGAATTTGTTTCGGAAAAGAAATTGGAGATCCGAGTTCGAATTCAATCGAAGATTTCGCGCTCTAAAAATAAAATTTTGAAACAGTAAGACTTATATCTAAAAAATCATTATTTCCAAAACATTTTAATGCAAGATCCACGCTTGAACATTTGAATGAAATGTTACAATCTTCACCTCATTAAAAAAAAAAAAAAAATGCTTCGACTTTAAATACCTCCCCGTCCACAAAGTGTTGATAATCCGTAAAAAAACAAACATTCAATCAATCAATGATCAGGGGTAACGATACTTGTTTCATTTGTGCCGTGTCTCGTAGAACGAATGACCCAAAACCATGCTAGCCTGTCGCGTGTCTGTATATTCTGGTTGTAGCTGTGAAAACGTATAAATATCTATCTAAAGAGGTGGGTGTAAAAAGGAATTAACGATCTGGTTTTGATTTTTCGAGCCTGAAATGTTTCTGCTGCCAGAAATTATTCTATCTTCGACTAAACTTAAAATCTTCGTTCTCCTTTCACCCGGTCCTTGATATACTTCAAAGGCATCAGCTTCAAAGAGATTTCTTCCCAGAATCCACAAGAAAGAATGATTACAATCCAATATCTAAAACATTATTTATCGAGTTCTAGTTTTCCGGAAGTAGATTGAAACCATTAAAACCGTTTTCTAAATTATTAACATCGTCGTCAGTTTGAATATTTAAAAAAGATACATTTAATTTCATTTATTATTTAACAAAACCGTTAATCTTCTTTTGTAAATTAGTAAACATTAATATTTCTTAATTTTAAAATTAATCTTGTTTTAAGCTAATTTTTGCTAAAACACTGCATTTATTACCTTTAAAGCGTATTTTTTGGGATATATATATATATATATATATATATATATATATATATATACCCAGTGATATATATATATTTATTGGATTGATGTGAGTTTGTGACCTTTTTATCTTTGTCTGACGATGGCATTTTTTCAAAACCCAGGGTCACAAACTAACATCAACCGAATTTAATATGTTAGCTCTATCATCTGATATTATTAGCGCTTTAAAAATTTAATTTTTTTTTCTT